AAAAAAAAAGCTTCCTGTATCAGAACCTGTTGATTCCAACCATCTTTTCACCATCAATCCATCAATATAGGCACCTTCTTGTAATCCGACCACTTGATTTCCTTTTTGTTGATGGGGTTGACCTCCACCACTTTGTAGGGAACATCATAGTAATCCAGGAATGCTTCGAGAAGAACCAAGGGAAAAGAAGGAGTGAGACAATCAGAATTTACCATGACAAGAATCACTGTAATGTTTAAATCTATTATTCTTCTATCTTTTGAATTATCAGACAGCTATGAACCCTGTTTGCAGAGAGAGAGAGACAGGATTAGAGGAATCTATGACCTCGTTTATCCAATTGTTATCATACTCTGATGTGTACCATTAAATCATATCTGCACTGCATCCCATAGAAAGGGGAAAACTTTGGTGGACATGTATATTTTTGGGCTGGAGGGGGAATCTTATTAAGGCACCAATAAAATCTCAACAATGTTCTATCTGGTGTCGTAGGAGATCATGTCACTTCAACTGGATAGGAGAAATTTCCTGAACCACAAATTTCTTTAGCTATAGTTTCGTATTTTCAATGAGCATACATGGGAGAAAGAAAGGAGCTAAAATTCTATTTAGTGGTGGAGTAAAATAAAAAATCCCTTGATGTTACTCGACAAAGTAATCTATGAATTACAATACCAAAAATCGAATATTAACTTGCCTCTAGGTGGTGATTCAGTATAACTCGAAAAATAAATGCCCAAATTGAAACTAAAATGGAAATAAGAGGAGCAAATAGATCATTACAGAGGAAACGAACTTGAAATACCGCCATTATAACAAGTCACTGCAACATATAAAACTTGCGGTGCGTCCCCTATAATATAACCATTTTTATCAGCTCAAACAATAGCCATCATGGCCCCAGTTTTTCTTCAACAAAACAAATTAATACTTTTAGAGACCTCCTTCTGGTCCTGCTTCAAAAACAGTCATTCCAGAAAATTATCGAGAAGAATTTACAAATATAACGTCATTTTCGAAAATGACCTCCTGATTGCTCTCGCCAATGGGAAAACTAAGAAGACGGAAAATAATTAAAAAATTCTACACACGTTCTATTAACCATTTATTTTCAACCCTCCAGAATCTAAAATCTTCGTTCTACGATTGAATTGAAATTAAATAAGCAAATACAAAGAGCAGCATTACCTTTAACCTTGTTACAGAAGGGGCAAGCTTCGTACTGATAAAGAACGACCTCGTTAGGCATAAACTCCTTAGACTGCCGCGGTTCTTTCGCGTGGACTTCTTGAGCGGCGGCGACTGAGAATAACATGGTTCCGGCCATTCCATGAGCGGCGGCGCAATTCGAGTGCCCTAAGTGATCGGTGAGCCTATCAGACGAGAACCAATGAGACTTGGGAGATGAATTAAAATTGCTGCTGACACTGTATAGAGCCACCTGGACATGCCGCTGCGGAGTGGGCTTGCCGGTGACGAAGCCTTCGACTGCACGTGTGATGGCGGCGATTCTACTAATCCTGTTCATCGTTGCCATTAGAGATTGATTACTCTACAGTTCTCACAGTCGCGTATACACTCTGAAGTTTCGAGAAGTAGAAACATGTTGGCAAATTTAAGGCGGTTCAGTTCTGGGAGGCGTCTCTTGATCTTGCCAGCGTATTATAATGGACTGTGGGTTAGGCCCAACAGATTTGTCAGGCCTACATTTTATGTTAGTGATGACGAGCCCATTCTATTCGGCACCGATGGAGAGAGGGAGAAGGGGGAGGCTTCACCCATTCACAACTTATGCTTAATAATTAGAGCAATGTTATTAGAATATAATTTATTAATTTAATTTTTTGATGTAATTTTATTATAACTAATTATTTTTCGTGTCTAAAGTCATGTAGTAATAAAAAAATTATTAATAATAAAATATTTATATTCACATTCAAATTAAATCATAAAAAAATATTAAATAAATAAATATAAGCATCGATTGTGATGAGAATTGACACTGATAGTGATGGGTGGGGGTAGTGATGGTGGTAAAAACGGTGATGATTGTAACGGGTGACAATGACTATGATACTAATGACAATCGTGAGTGTGATGGTAATTTTTGAATGACGAGGGTGGTAATAATAATCATGGGTGACAACGGTTTTATTGTGAAAGGGATGTGGGTGATGGTGGTTGTGGGGTTACAACGGTGGGCAATGGGGTGGTGACGATAGTGGTAGTGGACGACGACGGGTACTTTTGAGCTACAGGATGAATGGGTCATGGCAAATGACAGTGCTGGTGGTGGAGTTGGGATAAGTGTGGTAGGAATGAGTAATAATGGCCGATGACGACGGATGGTGGTCGGTTGTGGTAGTGGGCGATGATAGTAGTATTAATAAATATAAGAATGAGATAATAATGACGGTAAGTGGTGGCAGTAAATAACGGTGATAGCAATCTGTGGTGGGTGGTGAGGATAGAGGTGGGGGTGGCAGAGGTGGAGGTAGAGGGGGGCAGTGGCAGTGGTGGTGGGGAGTGGCGACGATGGTGGTGGTGAGATAATTTCAAACACTATTTTTTTTTTAAAGATCTTATGAAAAGTTATAAGCCCTATAAATATTTTTAAAAAGTCATTCCAAACACATCCTTATGAACTTATTTTTCTATTAAATTTGATGTATTAATATTAGCTATCAGATTAATTTTAAAGTAAAATTTAAAGATATCTTAACCATGAAAAATAAAAATTATTTTGTTTATTTTTTGAAATTTGAATTATATTGTATTTTATTATATAGATTATAAAATTAATTGTAGGCCTCATCAAATATTAAAACTTGGTATTAATTCAATAGTTACAATAAAATTAATTTTTTTTTTTACAATAAAACCAAATTAAGTCCAACTTTTAGGTCTAAATATAATTACTCTAATAATTATCAAGATAAACACGTATGGTTAATAAAAATGATTAATCTTACTTTGCATTCCGAAAATATATTTTAATATTTAATTTATACCCTTAAATATTAAAAATCTTAATTTATACCCTCAATAATATAAATTGTTAATAATGTAGATATTGCCCCAACTGTTGTTCAATTTTTTGTCATAAATTAAAACACGTGAGTTACCAGTGTTTCGGACATGAGCTTATGTATAAATTCAAAGATTATTGACAATTTTATGTGAGTTATACATGACAGGTTTAGCTTCTATCTATTTAATCAAACCCTATTTTTGATACAAAAAAATATATCAAATTAATCGCAAACGATAGACATACCTCATTCTCATACCTAAAGCATTTTGCACTTCACATACCTCAAATTTTGACAAAAAACTAAACGTTATTTTGGGTCAGGATCATATTGCTATCAATTCATAATATTCAATGTGTAAATTAAAATTTGTAAAATTTAAGGGTACAAATTAAAAATTAAAGTATATTTTAGAGTGTAAGGTGAGATTAACCCTAATTAAAAATAAGAAGACCCGAAGAAGTTTATGGAGTAGACTCCACGCCTTGGCGGTGCATGGGATCCATAAAAATACTAGCAAGATTTTTTTTAAAAAAATAAAAAATATAGAGACAACAGTATTTCAAAAATCATTGGTAACAACTGATGAAAATTTTGTATGAGTATATAATAGTTTCGCCTTATATCATGACATAGAAATTTATCAATATAATAAATTAGATAGTGTTTGAACTTACGAAAATATATTTTTTCTTTTAAATTTCACAAACTCAACACATATTTTTCCCCCTAAAATTTCAAAAATCTAACACACACTTCATAACATACAACTAGGGGTGCAACTTGGGCGGGTTGGACAATCAACCCTAGGTATAAAATCTTCAACCCTAATCTTAACCCTAACCCTACCTCGGGTTGAAAAACTCAACCCGAGCACTGCCTAAGTTTAATTCGGGCTGACTCGGGTTGAATTCGGGTTAATTCCGAATTACTTTACGAGCTTATTTTGGGTTATTTCAATCAAGTTTTTAACATTAAAATCATAATATTAAGAACTCAATGGAGAAATAATGCAACTATAACCAGAATCTTTGCATAACAGTTTAACATAAATAAACATAATCCTTGCACAACGGCGCAAGGGGCTGCCACTGGCCACTGCTGCCAGTGTTATTTAAACAAAACACAAAGTGCTGCTACTATAATTTAAACAAAATACAAACTGTTGACACTTTAATTTAAACACTGCAATTTAAACAGAACGCAAACACAAACAATCATTTAACACAATATTCGGGTTGAACCCGAATATTAACTCGGGTTGAGCCCGATTTTAATATTTGGGTTCAACCCGGTAATCTGATGGGTCAACCCGAGGCCCGTCCAAATTGAATTCGGGTTAACATTTTTCAACCCAAGTCCAACCCAAGTTTTAAAAACTCTAGCCCAAGCCCGTCTTTTTTTGGGTTGGGCTCGAGTTGAATTCGGGTTACCCAACCCAAGTTACACCCCTACATACAACTGAACATACATACATACACTCCAACACACATATTTCAATGTATGTATAGTGTTATAATTTAGTATACAATGACTTTAATCACGGGATATCGCTAGTCAATTAATATGATTCCAACAAAATAGCATAATTTTGTTTATACTCTATAATAAAACAAACCTCATGTATACATAGCTAATACAACAAAACGAGTTATTTAAATTTGATAATTTATTTTATAATATATTCTACTTATATTTAAATTTTTAATCATAATAAATATGCTAATCATACATATTTTTCTAAACCATTTATTTATATTTTAATTATGACAAAAAATAAAAAATTGCACCGGATACCCTAGTGTTAAAGAAAACCAAACTAATTATCTATGAACTAGATATAAGGAAGCAGACATTATATTTTAGAAAAAAACTTCATTCATATTTCTTGTAGTTAGTTTAATCTTCAATCACCCTCCTTGCATTATTTGAAACTTCATTTCACCCCTAAAAAAATATATGAAGTTTTCTTATATTTTATTATAAAAAAATTCCCCCTAATTCTCATTTTGCCCTCTAAATAATTAATTTTTTCATGTTTTCTACTTAAATAAATAAATAAAAATGTTACAATGTAGTTCAATATCTTATTTTTTGTTTGATGGTCCGTCAATTTTGTGTCAAATTAATCAATTAAGAATTATAAAATAGACGGATGATCAAACAAAAATAAGATAGTAGACCATATTATAATGTTTTAATTTTTTTGAGGGGATAATATGAAAGAATTAATCATTTTGGAGGCAAATTATTATTATTTTTTGTATCTTTTAGAGGCAAAGTAGGATTTACCCTTTATTATATAGTTTTTGTTTTTTCGTACTACTGAACCTTTTCCTTCTTTTTTTTGTTTTGTTCAATCAGGGAAAAGGATATAAAAGACAATTGGTATAAATCTGAGGGCATTATAGGTAAAAAAATAAACCGCTTCTGAAGTCGGCCAATCCCACACGCCTCTTGCCTATAAAATACAGATAGGTAGGCCTCCAAAACGTGTAGCATACTTTGCCGTAGGGTTTCAGCTCTTCGTGTGCGTCGGCGAAAGCGAAACCCTAAACTTGGGTTCCTGAATTTTTTTGATTTTGCCTTCAAACGAACGATCAAACCCCAAGATCTTAAATCTTTCTCAACCCTTTATTCTGAATTAGGGTTGCGACCTACGAATCCATATATACACGTTGTTGCGAGTTCTTGATATTAGAATGTCTCGGTGTTTTCCGTACCCTCCACCTGGTTATTCTGGGAATAGATCCAGCAACGAGGCCTTGATCGAATCGATTAAGGTTTGTTGAGCACTTGATTTATATATGCTCGGCTACTTTCTTGATGTTCTTCTAATCGATTTCAAGGCTCTCTTTATGTACGAAACCCATGTAAATATTAATATAAAAGTGGATGTTCATGTAAATCAAAATTAACAATCAACATCGGGCTCTTTCAATGTTCTTGTAACTCTTGTTAATGTATCATGGGTTTACTGGAATTTATAAAGAATAATGTTGTTTAAACTGTTTGGATCTGTCCTTGAGATGTGATGAATTTATTGGAATGAATGTTGTTAGCATCCCCTGAACTTTTGGAATAGTTTCCGCTGGAGTTGTAGTTTTGTGGTCGAGGTTTATCGTCTTGATAGATGAAAGGGAATGTTTCTTTTAAAATATTGCCACTGTGAGGATGTGTAGTTGATATGATTTAAAGAACAAGAATCGAAGAACTAGCATCTTGTTTACAAAAAACAGGTGGACACCTAATTGGATGATTTTGCAAATCTGATGTGGTAAGGAGATATCAATGGCACGTCTTTGGTGACTAAATTGATGTATATTAGGGGTTCTAACCCAAGTGCATGATGGGATAAGCTTACCTGAGTTGGGATTGATGGTGGAACTTTCATAAATAAGTGGGTAAAGATAAGAATTAAATGTTAGATTTTGGTCTTGGGTTTATTGGCAATCTACAAGTGTGTAAAGCTTGCCTTGATGTCTCTGAAGAGAGCTAATAACCTAATGGTTACTTTATATTTGTGAATGAGTCGTCGTGGATGAAAGGTCTTTCTGTTTTGGGGAAGTGGTTTATGTTTGCCCATCCTATGGGTTTCTTGAAAAAAAGGATCCAACACCATCTTTGTGTATGCACTTTGTTCCTGGATCCAGGATTTTGACATGAATAGGTGAAAGAAATTCCATACTGGCCAGTGATATTAGGAGGATTGTTGTGGTGTTATATTGGATGTCTCTGGTATTTTGAATTTGTTTCATTCACGGGTGTATTATTGTGTGGGGGGTTTTGGTTTAAACACCAGAGATTTTGTTTTGATCTATACTAGTGACTGAGATTTGTTGAATCATTGGGTCTTAGAAGTGTAAGTTGGCAGTTTGCGACTATTGCATGCCTTAAACTAGTATGGCCTAATATGCTGAGTCCTCATTTTTCTTGAAATATATATCAGACATTTCTGAAACAATTGGTTCGCGCTGTTTGAGACCTGAAGGTCTGTATCACATGTAGAAGAGAAAACTGTGGTAGGATTGCAAAATTTTGGAGATAGTTGCCATTCCTGACACCTGTTAAAGTTACTACAATGCGATGTATCAGCAAGAGACTTCTTCAGTTAGTGTATGGTACATTTGTACTGGCTTAAGAAAATTGGTATCTTGGTTATAAACATAAGCATTAGTTTTGTAGGCTTTCCCAAATATGTGCTTGAAGTCAAATCCAGTCCCTTACACTTAAGAAGGTAATTTTTCAGAAATAGGTTTTAGCTGCCGTGTTTTGAGGATGGATTGACATCTCAGTCATAGGTGGGGGCGTTACAGGTATTGAGCTTCTAATATTCATTGTTAAATGGACACACCTACTAACATCTTAAGTGCTTTAGTCTGGTCAGGGCATTTGACAGTTCATTCGAGGGTTTTCTTTATAGGGAAGGTTGAGTTCATTGATATAAACTTGTTATATTTTTGAGAAAGATCTTAAACTGTAATACCGGATGCCATTAACCATTAACATCAGGGGTTGTTTGGTATGTGGGTTTGGGAGGGTTTGAGAACATGGTTTGGGGAGTAAACCCATGTTTGGCAACCATGAAATATGGATAGGATTTCAAACTTGGCCCGGTCATGACCCAGTTATGAAACCCACATACTTGGGTTTCATGAAACTCAAGGGGGAGGTGGGTTTTATTTGTGGGTTTGAGGGTTTAACATTCAAATCACATTTATACCCCTATATATCTTATATACCTCATATATATAAATTGGTTAAGGAGTACAATAGTCATTTATATACAAATATATTATCATAATAGTCATATATCCCTGCGAATATCAAACATGGGTATGAACAACATTAAATGTTGAATCCCATCTTTTGGTCAAACCCGTGTTTGAACAATTCAATCCAAATCCCTCCCAAAAAACATATCAAACAAGCCCCAGGAGTTCTATTCTGATAAGAGACTGATCTCCTATTGTCATTTGACTATGCTATTTTTGTAGAAATTTTATCTTACATAAAACCCTTTTTGTCAATTAAATTCATTGACTTAAGTCTTTGCTTTTCTGTGATTTGTATTTTTTCCCTACAAAACTCATCTAATCACCGTAATAAGTCTGATTTGTGTAATGCAAGTCTTCGGATTGTGCCTACACACACACACACATACTTTGATGTATAGTTTGGAGTATTAATATGCACTATGTCTCTAAGGTTTACAAGTGTTTTTGGGACATTTGCATGAAGATAGTCAGATTCAAAGCAAAGTTGAACCATTTGCTGGTGATTGTGATTTTGTTAGTGTTTTATTCCATCTGTAGCATATTGGGGTTAAAAGGAAAACTTTGAAATTGTTCAGGAGTTAAAAAGAAACTGAGGATGTTCTAATTACTGTTCCATCCTCAGAAACTATTAAAAGAAGTAAAAGTTTTGATATCAGGGCTTTTGACTTCCAAAATGGAGGATTGCAGTGGTGTCTTATCTTATGTCAACTTTGGAACAATGATTTGATGGCAAAGTGATGAATAGATTATTCCATCTAATTAGTTATTTTTCCCTCCATTTTTTGCTTCAATACAAAATTGAAAAGTCACTTTTGTGATATCACTGAAGATCTGGCCCCTACATTTGCTTGGTCATGTTGCATCTATGGTCTTCCCGTGCCCTCTTTTTCTAAATTTCTTATTCTGGTGCTCTAAAGCTCCAGAGAGAAAGGGAGAAGGCCAAGGCAGAAAGGAAGAAAGAAAAGAGGAGGGAGAAGAAAGAGAAAAAGAGAGAAAAGAAAGAAAAGGAGAAGCATAGTACCTGTAAACTAGCTCATGATGAGAAAGACCATAAAGGGGAGAAGAGTTCTGTAGATTTCAAAAGAGAATACAAAAGAACGTGGAGTAAAGATGAAGCTGAACAGTTGGAAAGGAGTGGTCTCACTGAAGAGCATGGGTTGTCTGTCTGTGCATACAACCCGTCTGCTTCATCAGAGAGCACCCAAAATAGCAACAAGAGAAGGAGGAATGCTTCACTTCCTGATGGTTGCCATAGGAATGGTGAGTTTGTGCTTGTGTTTTCCGGTTGACATGACATCGATTATTTTTCTCTAGTTGCTAGGTTATTCTATGCTTTTTTCAGGCACGTCATTTTCTCAATTTCTTGTGATCATCAAACAGGGAACATCATTAGAATTCGACTACCCTTGCAAAAACACAAAGAACCTGCTGCTTCAGCCACCAAAGAGGTGCTCTGCTCCACTTCGGGGAGGATAAATTTACCTACCCAGCAAAAATGTGAAATTGCTCCAGGAGCCAGGCAAGAAGGTTCCTACTCTACTTCTCTGTGGACCGATATTGATACGCATACACTTCCCCTTAGGCTTGAAAAAGAGTTGAGCTGTTCTACTTCTAGGAGGACTGAAATTTCTACCCAGGATGACAGTCGAAGTGAATATGGCTCTATGTCATCTGGAAAAAATTTGCGGAGTGTGATATTATAGTACCAAAATTTGGTTGAGAACTGGGTTCCACCAGAGCGCCCTGATTTTGATGATGAAGAATGGCTCTTTCAAAGGAAGCATCAAGACACTCTCAAGGAGAAAAGATTTAAAGCCAGCAGTGATTTATCTTGTGGTTCATCTGTGATGTGGCCTTGTGCCCAACATTTGCCCAATGCTGATATATTTGCATTACCGTATACAGTACTGTATTGATTTCAATTGTCCCTCGTGAATAGTTGGAAGTGAGGGGCTTGATGCACCCTGGGAATTTTTGTGGTCACACGACTGAAGGCAGTTGTAAGAAGGTGAATTTGGGTTCAACGGTAAGGCTGTTTTATTGTATAAGGGGCTGTCTTTGATTTGAGTCATGAGAACAATTTCTCAGCACATGGATTGAAAAAATCACTATGAGTGTTCTATAATAGTGTGGAGTACGATTTGTATATGGGAGCAGCGGGAATGGTTATTGTTGTTGCAACAACAGAGCTTTAATTTATCAATTTAATTCTTAGCCTTCTCAAAAAAAGGTTATGGTGTGTCTGAATTTTGATGTTGCTTGGGGATGTTCATTTTATTTTTCTTATGCAAATCTAATCGCGCTACTGTCAACAAGTCAGTGAAGAAATGCTTTCTTGATCGTACCCTCTCCCTTTCTTTTCACTTTCACTTGCAAGTGACGTGGTCAAAAATTGGCCCATGTTTGGTAATATTTTTATTTTTGTGTTTTTAAAAAATTTAAAATTATAGATAATTTTTGTTTGTATTTTATAATATAATAAATCATGCGTATTTATTATGAAAATAAAAACAAAAACCATGTTTTGTATTTACAAGTTATAGCCTAAATATGTTTTATAATATCTCATACAACAAAAGACAAATCTAAATTTTTTTTAACCCAACATATCCAATAATTCATCAAAATTCACAGACACAATTCTTTTCAAAGGGATGGTTGATCTTCATCCCATTTTGATGGTCGATCTATCTTTCATCCCATTGTAAAAGAAACCAGCAAGCTCAACAGCAGCAACAAACAACAAGCTCAAAGGTGAAACACAATTCTCAAAACAAAACCAAACTCACATCACATACCTCTTCTCTTCCAAATTGAGCATTTTGCAGATCCCAAATTGAGCATCTTACCATGTGGGTTTTCTCAAAACCTTCACTTTCTGTTCTGCTTCCAAACAATAACTCACCCACTTCCAACCCCTCTAGATCATCAACAGTGAACCCAATTCATTGTGGTCTGCACGAGTTTAGTGAATGCATTGATTCTATAAAGAACACCCATAAAATCACTGAGGCTATGAAGCTTGTGACCCATGCTAAAGTGAGAAGAGCTCAAGAAGTTGTGGTCAATGCTAGACCCTTCTCTGAAACTCTTGTTGAAGTTCTTTACAACATCAATGCACAGCTCAAAATTGAAGACATAGACATTCCTCTCACCAATGTCAGGCCAGTAAAGTTAGCTCTTGTGGTTGTTACTGGTGATCGTGGCCTTTGTGGTGGTTTCAACAATGCAATCATCAAAAAAGCCGAAGCCCAAATTAAAGAATTGAAAGGTCTTGGCGTTGATATGCTGTAATCAGTGTTGGTAAAAAGGGTAATTCATATATACCTTAAACATAGACACAGAACACTCTCTCACACACACACACGGACTCTGCAGATCCACTCACATAAATCCAAATTTTTTTAGGGGAAAATGAAAAAAAAGAGCCCATGTCTGTGATGGATCTGAACACAAAATAGACACTCACACACAAAGACACACAAAGTCACACACACACAGTAAAACACACAGATCTGCCTTGTTATAATCCTATATATATATATGCATAGATTTATTCTAATTGCACGGGATAATTCCTGCAATCTTGTAAGATAGCGATCCCTTAATTGGCGAACCTGAAAAGATGGGGTTTGAAGAAGGGGGGCCAGGCGTGAGGCCGACGGATTCCCACAGACGACGCCAAATAATTCCTGCAATATTGTAAGGTAGCGATCCCTTGATTGGCGAACCTGAAAAGACGGGGTTAGAAGAAAGGGGGCCAGGCGTGAGCCCGGCGGATCCCTTCCGAAGCTTAAGTCAGTAAGATCGAAGGGCTGTTTTTTAATAGATGTGCTCTGGTTTTATTTTGCGTACTTTTGTCCATTTTTCTGAGGGATATTTATACCTGAATTAGCAATGATTGCTCTAGATATTTAGTCTCATATGGACATCTCACATCTGACACACTATCCCTCGTGCTGTGAATGCTTCCCCTTTACGCCTCCTCCAATTGAATGCTATGGGAATGGTGTAAATGCTCAGCCACAAGCCGAGCATTTATACTACGAGTCGAGCAACCCAATCCAAGAGGTTGGCGTCTGACACCGACAAAGCACGGACTACTCGGTGAATCAAGGAACTTAGGAGAACCAATCGCGTTGTTTCGGCGCGTCAGTCATTAATGCTCCAGCTATCATGTCAGTAGGCATAGACTTGCAGAAAGCAGTTGGCAGCAGCCTCGCATTTATTTGTCCTGTCACCATCACTCATTTCACCATAAATGCGAGGTCATATCGCTTTGATTATGATGTCAGCTGTTGTACTTGACCGCTCTGTGTCGCTATGCCTCGGATCACCCCCTCGACATCTTTTCAGACATCCTAATGACTTTATTTGGGCCACGTGTCACCCTGGGGGTTGAGGATCCATACAGGAGTCCCGCCAACTGCCCCCCAGCCGCAATCCCTTACGCGGCGCTCGACAAGTGGAGTAAAGGGATTGGGGCTCTATCACCATGCCTCATTAATGGCGATAGTTACTTGCACGTCTGATGCCACCCTTTTCAAATGTCCTAATGATGAGCCAACTCCTTGATTCTCGCTTTTTGTGAGGCCCTATAAATAGAGGGTTTCTTTGCTTTCTTAGAACTTTTGCATCCTCCATTTCTCCTCAGCAATCAGACCCCGAGTGCTCTCCTGTCCTCCGAGTTTCCCTAGTCCTCCGAGCTCTCTCCGAAGACCAACCTCCTATAAGTACTTCCACTTGAGCTTTTTTTCTCTTCGTTTCTTCTACATTTCGCCCTCTTAGCTCCCACCGATGGCCAGAACTAGTAGAACTAGGGGAAAAACGTCTGTTAGGACCAGTACTACCCACAAAATGAGGAGAACCCAAGTAACAGATGAGAACATCCACACCTTTAAGGTCAGGTACCATATTCGCGAGCCTGTCTTCACCTTCCCCTTCAACCCTACTCGTCATAAGAGGGACATGGGAAGTGAGGACATGATGCCTTTCTAGACGAAGGTCATCATAGAATGAGGGTTGACCTTCTCCCTCCATCCCCTGTTGTTGGGAGTCCTGATGCAATTGAAGCTCTTTTTCCTTCAATGCGGGGTTAACTTCTTTAGGATTGTGATGAGCGTAGTCACCTTAAACACTCGGCTTGGGACTAACTTGGGGGTAGACAAAATTTTGTTCTGCTATGACCTAAGGCTAGTTGTCGGGGGATGATATTACCTCCAAGCCCGAGATCCCTCGATGTATCTAGTAACCCACATGCCTGACTTGGACAAGGGGTACGTGGATGATCTAATCATGCTCGACGACAGTTGGGACAAAGGGACCGGGCCCGAGTATGAAGGATTGTACTGCCCCAAAATGTCGAGGGATGAAGATGTGTTTTCATTCCAACTTCCCAATTTACATCTTTTTAGGTCCGAGGGACATACTAATTTTTGCTCTATTTTCGCAGAAGGATATCGCTGGGACGCTGCTCAACCGCTGAGGTCTCAAGTCCGATTCGTTGATCTACTAAAGGTCTAGTCCTCGGACCCAGTTGAACGAGCGGCGCATACCCTTCTTGGCTATACGCCAACCTACAACTGGTTCTCCCAGATCCCTCCTCCTTTTAACCCTTCCGTTTGGGAAGATCACTCCTCGTCGGAAAAGGAAGAATCCGAGGGTGGTTCAGAAGAGGAGTCTTCGCATAACGCTACCGAGTCTTCTACACCCGACATGTTTAATCCACCACCCATCACCGCAGCAACCATGGAGGCCGCCGCCTCAGCAAGGAGAGCCAGGTTTGCAGGCTTGGCCTGGCCTTCCAATCTTGCCCCCATCATTCCTTAACCTCGTCCTCCTCAGAAGCAGCCGCTGCCACCGCGTGCGCCACCCAGGGATTCGGCCGTACCGATCAGGCAGAGGGCCCAATCTTAACAAGTCCAAACTCCAGTAGACCGGCCGAGGGACAGGCGTGCCCGGGACGCCGAACAACATGAAGAGCACCGCGTAAAGCAGCGGCATGATGTCGCAGCCCCGGGGCCCTCTGTCTCGGGCGAGTGGGTTGGTCAGGTTGAGACCAGAAGCGACCGACCTATTTTGGAAGCCAACTCAATCCTCCAATCTCCCGAAGTGGTCTTTGCCGTTGCGGGGATGCTTCAGTTCGAGGCCGACATGGCCGTGTATAAAGGTTACTCGGACAATCGGCTCCTGATGAGCACCATCCAAAACAACTTGGTGGTAAGTTCATCACCTCCCCGAGTAGCTATTCCCCTTTGGTCATTTACTAATATTCCTCTTCTTCCAGGCTAGCCAGCAGGTGGGAGCCATCATTGAACACTTTTGGGAATACAAGCAAGAGGCGAAGAACACCGAGCGAGTCGCGGCCGCCAAGGACGACCACATTTTAAAGGTCAAGAGGACCCTCGGCGATCAGACCAAACACATTGCCGAGCTGAATAAGGCCAAGGCGGGCGAAGCTGCAATGATGAAAAAGACCGAGGAGTATGAGCTGCGAGTATCCTCCTCCAAGTCCAAGCTGCAAGAGTCCGAGTTTGTAATCAGCGTTCTTACTGCCAAAGTGGACTCCTTGACAACAGAAAAAGCGGGGGAGCAGGAGAGGCTGCAATCAGAGTGTCTGAGGGTGTGGTCGGCCACTCAAGACCAAGTGGTTCCTGCTTTTGAGAAAGCCAAGAAGAAGGCTTTCAAAGAGGGTTGAGATGTCGCCTGCCATGTCGAGGTTGGCTCAGAGTTGTTTGCCAGACATAACTTCTGAAGCGAGGCCGATAACGAGGCCTTGGATGAATAAGTCCGCCCCAACCTCAGTGCCTCTGCTGAGGTTGAAGGTCCGGTCGGTGCTGAAGGCGGCGGTGAACCCATCACACTCAGTGACGGATCTGATCAGCTTTCTCCTATTTTTCCGTCGTTGCCATCGGCCGAGCCAACAGATGATCTGTCCTTTCCGCCCCCCATCCTCAGTGGAGAGCATGACACCGAGCAGGACGAGATATCGGGGGTTAGAGATGGGGAAGGAGCCGGGGATGAATGAATGAGTCGAGAGTCTTAGCAGCTGGTCCTACATTTTTGCAGCTTTGTAGCTTCGTACTGAGTTTTGTTTGTTTGTATGCTTGGGGATGCAAAACCCCTTTTCTATAATGAACTCCGATTTCTAATCAATATGTTTTCTATGTTGATCGTATTTCTAGGAAACAGCCACGCCGAACTCGCTGTTGGGTTTTAGGACGCTTCGGGGCCATATCCCTAACGACCGAGCGCTTGACTCGTGTTGGTATTTTGAGAGCGTTGCTCCATGGACGGAGTCTTACACCCCTCGGGGCTGTGTCCCTAACAACCGAGCGCTTGACTCGTGTTTATTTCGAGAGCGTTGCTCCAAGGGTGGAGTTTTACACCCCTTGGGGCTGTGTCCCCAACGACCGAATGCTTGACTCGTGTTAGTAGCACCATGAAGACTGAAACCTGATTTAGTAATAGTATTTCTTTAAATTTGATACATTCCATGGTCGAATTACATCATCACTATTCATATTTTGCAAACAATATGTGCCAGTGCCCCCCACAGAGATCACCTTGTAAGGCCCCTCCCAATTGGGACCAAGTTTTCCATCAGTGGGCTCGCGCGTATTTCCTACCACTTTTCGCAGTACCAAATCTCTGACTTGGAATTCCTTTGATCGAACTTTCTTTCTGGTGCTGTCGTGACAACTCACCTTGGTACTTCGCCAGCTTGATGGACGCCAATGACCTCCTTTCTTCGGCTAGATCGAGATCCCTAGCGAGGGTTTGATCATTATTGCCAAACTCGAAGGCTCGGCTCCGTATTGTTGGGAGTCCTACCTCAAATGGGATTATTGCCTCAACCCCATATGTCAAGGCGTACGGGTTTCTCCCGTTAAAGTCCTCGGGGTGGTCCTGTATGCCCATAACACGTTAAGTAACTCCTCGGTCCACCTTCCCTTTGCTACCTCGAGTCTCTTCTTGATTCCTGTCAGCACAGTTTTGTTGGATATCTCAATCTGCCCATTACACTGGGGATAGGCTGACGTAGAATAGTAATTGCATATTCCGTATCCTGAGCAGAACTCTCGAAATGGGCCACTGTTGAATTGAGTCCCGTTGTCAGAGACGATAGCCCGGAGAATTCCAAACCGGGCGATGATGTTTTGCCATACGAATTTCCTTACTTCGACATCCCGAATGCGGCTTAAAGGCTCCGCTTCGATCCATTTAGTGAAGTAATCGATTGCCACTATCAAGAATTTCTTGCCCAGTGGGGATCTCGGGAGAGGTCCGACAAT